CTATATTTAGATATATGTACATTGTTTTAAATTAATGTCATTGTGTATTTAAAAATGTAAAAAGTTTAACCATATTCAGTTCCCTTTCAGTCGGTCACTCCTGACGTCACGTCGGATGACCGACAAATTGGGATCTCGCTTAGAGAGATCAATCTACTTCGAGTGAAAACTAAACGAGCCAATGCACATTGGCATGCGATTATTGCATCCAGCTGCCGCTGATCACAGCGTGAGTATAAGTAGGCAGCAGATGCAGCGCATATTCGTTCTGCTCCTGACTACTCTAGTGAGAGAAGAAGACTGAACGAGTTCAGCGCGCTCTTGGGAGAGCTCTTCGTGTTGGCGGTACGGCGCTTCAGCGGTGGTGGTTTCCCGTGTCGAGTGGGTTGCACACATCAGGCTGCACTACCCCCTGTTTGTGTTGCAGACGGCCATCTCCCCTGTGCGCCTCAGCACGCTAAAAGAGCTTTTTCCCCTAAAAGAGCAATTTCGGGTGCGTCTTTTTAAAGACGACGTTGCGTGGCAAACTTGACATTACGTCTTTGTAAAGACGATGTGGGTCTTGCTATAGACAACGTATCACCCGAGCGTTTCTGGATGCGGTCGTTACCTGGCACTGGGTGATGGTCACGATCGCTGCCTCTCGTGCCTGGGCATGAAGCACGCTGAGGTGACTTTCGTGGATGACTCATGCTCCCATTGCGGGGGTATGACCATCTCGGAGTTACGGACCAGACTCCGTTACCTGCAAGGGGGCGGAGTGCCCGTGCCACTGCCTAGATCTGGGGTTCCCTCTGGTGGCAGCCGGGGGTACCCTTTTTCTGGCAGTGGGCGGACTGGTCTCACGGTCACGGTGAGGAATTCCCCTCCTACAAGGAAGGGGATGCCCGAACCAGCCGGCACTTCGAAGCCAGCGGAGCCCTCGAGAGAGCAGGCTGGATCCTCCCGGGGGATACCACCTGTTTCTTCCGAGGCTCCCCCCGACGATCGGATGTCGATTGCAGCATCGGAGGGTGAGCCAGAGCTTTCTGGAGAGGAGGATTCAGCTGCGCTGCTCTCCTCTGGGACTGTAGCAATGCCTGAATCGGATCCAGAAATAATGGCTATGCTTTCCCGGGCCGCCGTAGGGGTAGGGCTCGAGTGGAGACTTCCACCGTGTCCCGAGCCCTCAAGGTTGCACGATTGGTTCTCGGGGTGGTCCGCGCTGGTTCTCAGCGCCCCGCCTCGGTGCCTTTCTTCCCGGAGGTGCATGAGGAGCTCAACAGGTCGTGGACGGCACCTTTTTACTGCCGGAAGCCGATCTGCTGGTTCCTCCTCCCTCACCACCCTCGATGGTGGGGCAGCCCCCTCCCGGGTCTGTAGGTACTCGACTGGCCAGCGATGCTTATACGACCTGTGGAGAAGCTGCCTCCGCCTTACACGCTACGGCGTAATTGCAAGTGCACCAGGCCAAGGCACTGAGGGACTTGCACGAGGGTGGTCACGACCCGAAAGTTCGCAGAGAACTCCGCACCGCGGCGGACCTCGCGCCACGAGCGACGAAGGTTACGGCGCGGTCTCTGGGTCGTGCGATGTCCACTATGGTGGTCCAGGAGCGCCATTTCTGGCTGTGACTGGTGACATGCGCGAGACGGCAAGACACGATTCTTGAACGCCCCCGTGTCCCAGGCCGGCCTTTTCGGCGACACGGTGGAGAACTTGCCCAGCAGTTCTCCGCTGACCAAAGCAGACTGAGGCCATCAGGTACATCCTGCCCCGGCGTGCAGCTGCTGCCGTCGCCGAGGGCGGCCCCCCTGCCACCGCCCCGCTCCTGCGGCCTCCAGCAAAGCTGCGCCATGGAGCCGGTCGCAGAGCAGCCGCCCCACCCGTCCAGGCCCCCGCCAAACCTGGTGGCAAGCGAAAGAGCAAGAGGCCCTGAGACGGGCAACCCAGAGGTGGAAAGACCTGCTCTTCGGGAGATGGTGAGCGCACCACTACCTCCCCCGGAGGAGGGCCGGGCGGAGAATCTTTTTGTTTTTTTTCTCTCGGACCGGCTACGAGACGCCTGGGCCGGGTCCCTGCGTTCTTCCTCGCTGCCACACTGCGGGTACGCCTGTAATTCCGTTGGTGCCACTTGCACGGCGTCTGGGAGCCTGGCTAGCGCTACCCAGCCCGTCTCGGTGGCTTCTTCGAACCGTCAGGCTCGGCTATGCGATTCAGTTCGCCTGGCATACCAGTACAAGGTCCTGCCCTTCGGGCTGTCCCTGTCGCCCCGTGTCTTCATGAAAGTTACGGAGGCAGCCCTTGTTCTCATGAGAGAACAGGGCATTCGCATTCTCAACTACCTCGACGATTGGCTCATACTCGCTCAGTCTCAGGATCAGTTGTGCGAGCACAGGGATTTGGTGCTTTCACACCTCAGCCTGTTGGGCCTTCGGGTCAACTGGGAAAAGAGCAAACTCTCCCCGACGCAGAGGATCTCTTTTCTCGGTATGGAGTTGGACTCGGTCGAACAGACAGCACGCCTCACGCAGTAATGTGCTCAGTCGGTGTTGAACTGCTTGAATACAAAAAATTCAAGAGCAGGATGGCGGTCCCACTAAAAAAATTTCAGAGGCTCCTGGGAGACCGCTTCAGCACTGGTTCCATGGCCGAGTCCCGAGGTGGGCGTGGCAACGCGGCACTTTTTGGGTCCAAGTTACACCGGCCTGCCGCCAAACCTTCACCCCGTGGTCAGACCTTGCATTTCTCCGGGCAGGAGTGCCCCTGGAGCAGGTCTCCAGGCATGCTGTGGTTTACACGGATGCCTCAACCACCGGCTGGGGGGCCACGTACAACGGGCTTGCAGTGTCAGGGGTTTGGACGGGGCCCCAACTGCACTGGCACATCAACTGCCTCGAGTTGCTGGCAGTGCACCTTACCCTGAGCCGTCTCAAAGGGCGCTTACGAGGCAAGCATGTACTAGTCCGCACGGACAACACAGCGACCGTTGCGTACATCAACCGACAAGGTGGTCTGCGCTCCCGTCGCATGTCGCAACTCGCCCGCCACCTCCTCCTTTGGAGTCAGAAGCATCTGAGGTCGCTTCGTGCTGTTCACATTCCTGGGCTGCTCAACCGGGCACCCGACGAGCTGTCTCGAGCTGCTCTCCCGGGAGAATGGCGACTCCATCCCCAGATGGTCCAGCTGATTTGGAGACGTTTCAGAGCCACTCGGGTAGACCTGTTTACCTCTCCAGAAACCTCTCACTGCCAGTTGTTCTACTCCCTGACCGAGGCACTGGCACTCAGCTGGCCTTCGCAAGTATGCGTTTCCATCCAGTGAGCCTTCTCCGAAACCTCCTTCGGGAAGGTTGGAGCTTCCGTAACATCCCTGTCCCAAGTAGAACGGGTATGTTTTCCCAGTGTTATCCAGGCTTACTGAGTGGTTAGTGCCATAGCAGCAGTAGCTGGTCCTCTTGTGGTAAGCCCTGGCCTACGCCAAAAAGTAGGGGCGCGGGTGGCTCCCACGGGACGGTGGAAGGGGCAGTACCTGTGGCCCTTTGTTAGGGATCCCAATTCGTCGGTCATCCGACGTGACGTCGGGAGTGACCGACTGAAAGGGAACATCTCGGTTACGTATGGTAACCCTCATTCCCTGACGGAGGGAACGGAGACGTCACGTCCTGTTGCCACAGCTCCTGTACCTCCGCTGAGCGGCCGGGTCACCGGCTTGGCTCCTCAGCGAAAACCTGAATATACGCTGCATCTGCTGCCTACTTATACTCACGCTGTGATCAGCGGCAGCTGGATGCAATAATCGCATGCCAATGTGCATTGGCTCATTTAGTTTACACTCGAAGTAGATTGGTCTCTCTAAGCGAGATCCCAATTCGTCGGTCATCCGACGTGACGTCTCCGTTCCCTCCTTCAGGGAACGAGGGTTACCATACGTAACCGAGACGTTTTTTTAGATAGCATCCCCATATACACCTCCAACATCGAAGGGATAGTTCACTCAAATAAATAAATCTCTCTCTCTATATATATATATATATATGTATGTATATGTATGTGTTAGGGATGCTCCGATCGATCGGAGCATCCCTAACATTTTATGACTCGATCGGTACTCACTAACTTGGCCGATCTCACGAACCGATCGCAATTTGATGACGTCAACGCGTGACGTCGTACATGATGCGTGGGTACATAAATGATTTGGCGCCACAGTCATGTCATCGCCGGTGTGGAAATGCTATGACGTTTCGAGAAACAATGTAAAATTTGCTATTTGTCGTGTATGTTTTGCATGATGATATGATGAATGGATGGTTCATTTTTAACAGCAGATTCAGTGACGTTAGAGCTGATCTGCGCCTCACTGCACACGGAACCGGAGCTGATCGCGGCCGCTCTAGTCAATGCTTGTGCTTATACCAGCCAGCCGCGGCACGTTTCTGAAGTGGCTCTAAAATGCTTGGCTAAAAATAGCCTTTTGTGAGTTGTCACAGCGTGGAGGACGGAACAAAACCTTGTCGGAGCCGTAAAGGATAACGGTAACATAATAGCTACGCTGATCGTGGGTATTTAAAACACGTTCATAATTTAGAAAATGTAGTTACTTGCATCATTAATGATTTATTTTATCCCCCCGCGACCCACCCGCAAATAATCAGAATGCATTTTTTATTACCCGACCCGCAGATTATCCGCAGCGCCCGTGGATGTAGGAAAAGCAAAATATGTTTGCAGCGTTTTCATTCTCTGCCAGCAGGAGGTGCTTTAAAGTGGGAGAAGTGCTTTACAGTGATAAAAACACCCGCGCCTCGTTTTGATTTTTAAACAGTAAACAGTATGTGCTTATTGTTATATGTGCAGTATGTTTATTCAACGAAGCCTTTTGGAAAATCGTTCAGATTTGATATTGGTATATATATATATATATATATATATATATATATATAAACCATTACCATTGACTGGACAGAAAAGTGGACAAAAAATATCTTGAAAATTTCTTCTTTTATGTTCCACAGAAGACAGAAATTCGCTCAGGTCTGGAATGACACGAGGGTGAGTAATAATGACAGAATTTTTATTTTTGGATGAACTTTCTCTTTAATAGGAGCATACTAATATCTTCTCAATTTGTATTTTTGCAAACTGAACACAGTTTGGGAAAATACAAAGCTTAGTAAGTGTCTGTCTAATAATATTGAGGTAGTTCATACTTAGAAAGAGAGTATGTGACCGAGAGTAGGTGTGGTGGGGCCAAGAAGGGTCGTAATCTTAACAGATGCCACCTCACGTGTCACTTCACCATTTACACGGTTGCCACAAACCACCATCCAAGTGTGCTCAAACGCAGCACGTATTAAAAACACTCACACTCGCCTCTTATCAGATTACCATGCCTTATGATTGGCCTTCCATTGGCCTCTTTATTTAATAGAAGGTTCCTTTCTTCTTTGAGATGCCATAGAGTGTTACATCACTGCGCTTGAGCCCTGTTATCTATGTTGAGGCCTGTTCTTGTAATGGGCTTTATTGATCTAAACAACATCAGGCTGGCTGTGATGTTATTAAGGTGAAGATAACTTCACTGTAACTTCCACTCAAACAATGTATTAGTGTTTTATTGGGTTTAAATAACTTTGGCTTTTAGACGCTAATGTAGCCGGTTAGTCACCCTGCTCTTTTATGGCTGCAGGATCTTAATAAAGCTTTCCTCTTTACATCCTGCTGTGTGTGAGTATGTTTGTGTGTGTGAGAGAGAGGACAGGAGATGCCAAGTGCTTGCTGGGAAGTTTCTGCGCCTTTAGTAAACAGCAGGAACTCTAAATAATCGGAGTAATTATACGTTGGTGGTATCCGTATTAAGCACCGCATTATCAAGCCTTGGTTCGTGCCGACCCGGACCTTTAAACTCGATCCACAATGCTGCCTTTTTTTTTTGTCAAATTAACATATGTGGTAAGAATTATTTGTGGGTTTAGAGTCATTTATTAACTGCATTTCGCAGAAAACTTTTTTGTCTTCCAAGGGCACACTGAATCCAATATTTATGAAATAACGATCCCATTCATCTACAGGCATATTTTCTGTGGGAAATTTAATTTGCAGCTATTTAAAGCCATGCGTTTGGTAATTAATTATTTTGTCATCCTGCCTCTGATGAGATTAATCTTTAATAACTGTAACAATTATTTTATTAAAAAAGAGGAGCCATGCATTATGGCTATCTCAGCAAGGTCTAGAGCGTGCGAGGATTCTCATTAGGAGGGTATTATTACCCCTGCTGGGCTTTCATTCACACTACCCAACTTAAATTACATTATGTGTCAACAATGTTTGCATTAAATTTAAGCAGTCATATTTACCAATTTTTCCCTCTCTCTCTCGCTCCCTACTACTGACACATTTAGATGTATTAAAAAGATAAAACACAGTTCTAGATCTGATAGGATGGCTTATTGAACGTTTACCTCAGTGCTGACTTTTAATAACGCAATAATATTGAATTTGTATGCCGGTTGTTTTTTATTAAAATGTTTTTGAAAGTTGTAGCCAGCCATATTGTTGTCATGAGAAGTTGAAAACTTATTTTTTCCTTTTTCAGAACACAAAATACACTGTTTTTAAAACAACTTTTGTGTTTCACAGAATGAAGAAAGTTACACAAGTTTGTAGGACATAAAAGTGAGTAAATTATGGCTGAATTTCTTTAAGAATTCCTTTAAAAGTGTCCTGACATCCTCTGAGAAACTCTTTTTTAATGTAGCTAGTTGTGCATGGGCAATCACTGCAGTTTTTCAGAAAATGTAAAAATCTACTTTGGAGAATGTAGTTTTGTCTAGCAGCAAATGAGCTAAATATCAAATAAACATTAGACCAATGCAGCGTCACCTTCTTTTTTAAGAAGGGGCTTTTTGATGGAAACTTATCTAAAGGTGTATCATGACAAAAATCACAGCTGTGCTCAAAAAAGGCATACTTTTTGCATATTAAAGGCGTGACCAGCAATACTCTGACAAATGTTGCCATTTCTGTTCATCAGTCTCTCAAGGATGTTGGAACGTTCCAATTGGAAACAAATACTGTGTAATACCTATTTTAATGCTTCCCCATTTTTTTTGATGATGCCTCTAAAAGGTTCCACTCCACATGGAACCATCTGCGAACATGGAAACCAAATGTTGTAGCCTCTGTTCCGCATTTTACCACAACGCACTGTACACAAACAAAATGTTTATGGCTTACTGAGCTGAACCTATCCTGGCCAGAGACAGAAGCGAAATTGCTGAATGTGAGGTAATCGGTTATTTCAGTTTGACCACTTCCTTAAACTCCTGCTATTACTCACAGTGATACTTTTCCAAAGAAAACCTCTGACTCTCCTGTAGGTATAATGGTTTGGTGGATTTATGTAAATCAAATATTTAGCTGGACTGTAGAAGTAAAGTGGAGACTATGTGTACCTGGAAATTGCCGTGTCGGGGAGAGGGCACTGTGATGGAGTGGCAGAGCAGTTTGCCTTTAATGTCAGCCATTCTTCAGTGTCTTGTTTGGTTCTTTTGCAACATTGAGAGATTAGAGTATTAAAGAAGGATGTTTGCCTCAGTTTTACCATGTTTGTCTCGGAGCTTTTGATTATGAGAGCAGTAAGACCAAGATGCTTCAGCAGTGTCTCTGCTTCATTTATATTCCAAGTTCTGTCATGAAACTCTAGATGGCGCAGGCTGATGGATCTTTAATGCAAATTGATGATATTCACAGAGTTAAACTACTTGGCACAAGCTGATTGGTTCATGTTCCATACGCAGCCAATAAGCTTACTGCTTAACATTTAAATGGCTGGCTAGCAATCACTAAAGCAGTTTGCGGCGTGCTTTCAGAGTTCCTCTGAAACCCTCCACCTTCCCCAGTTCCACTTGTATAGATCTGCTGCGGGTTATTATATATGCTATTTGTGCAGCAGCAGTATGTCTTAAAAACTCACAGCACCGTATCATAGTTGCTGTACTTGCTTTGCAGCAGCAGGAATAATCTACGACAACAGCAATAACCAACAGCAGCAGCAGTGGAGCAAATCTGTTCCGCCAAGTCCAACTACATTAACATTGTCATATCCATCACCATGCTAAAATCTTCAGAGAGTTGTCATGATAGAACTATTGTAATGAATCAAATCAAATCTCAATGATTCGTTTGCAGCATTTCTCAAAAATAGTCACTGAAGTTCATTTTATTAGTGGCAATTTATTGGCTTAAATTTTTTATTTAACTCTTTTATTAGTACTAATAATCTATAAATATTGCTGATATAAAGGAAAATTATTAAATGACATTGTTTTCATTCAGTGAAAAATAGTGTTGGACGATATACTCAATTTTCATATCGTCCTATCGTCAGCCTGTGAGATCGCCGATACACGATATTATTGTGCTAATTTATTTAATTATTTATTTACTTAGTTTCATTGCCAGAAAGTGAACCAACTCCAGCGTAAGGCTAAAAACAGCCTTTTTAATGTGACTGAATTTGTATTTAACATGATAACAATTCAATAGAAATATTGTAAGTTACTAATTATAATGCTTATATTTCATCAGTTATTCAAAAAGCAGCTACAGAAAACGAGCAAAAACATTTACATTACCAAAGAACATCATCACAAGCTCAGTCTAGCGTGAGTTTATGCACTTTAAAATACACTCCCATTAAAATCAGTGAAGCTATCTACACTGTATGATGAATAAATCTCTTATACTTACATCGCATGTACATCTGCACTTTATTGTTTATGATGAAAGAATTCGCGAGTCAGAATTCAGTCAGCGTGCGCTGAACAACGAAACTCTGTTGTTTCAGCGATGACTCATCTGAACGCCTCTGATTGGCCATTGCATTTATAAGCATAACATAATCGTGTGTGATTGGTTATAACGCGCAAAACGCGGAAAAAGAAATATAATGGAACAAATAAGCCCTAATATTAATTAGATAGTATTACTAACCTGATAATAATTATAATAATAATAATAATAATCGTCTTGCTATCGTCAGTGGCATCAGCCACAGGCGATATCTCTGACTACCGTCGATACACGATACTATCGTCTATCGGCACAACCCTAGTGGAAAACCATGAAGATACATGTCTTGATTTTGTGTAACTTGCATTCTTTATTCTTTATTTTTATTTTGAAAGGGACAATGAACATTAATTAACATAAACACTCAAGTTTATTATATAAATGTGCCAGATTTAGCCATACAGGCTAATTTTCATCTGAAGTCCCTGTCAGGTTGATGATAAAGTCCACAAGTACATAAATAAGAAACATTCCAGCAAACATAGTCACAATCATAAAAGACTTTACATATAAAACCCAGAAGCAAGCAAGAAACCACTATTTCAAATTATGAAGACATGTTTGATTATCTAATAACCAACCTTTTTATCGATTCAGAAAAAGAAGCAAAATATGTAATATTTCTTAGTTCTATAGGTATAGTATTCCAGCCATTAAACATTTGTAATCTACTTGACTGTAATTTATGGTTGAGCCTATAATTTAACGTTTTGCAGAAGACAATTGTGAATAAAATGACCATTTATAAATACATAAATATTGAGATTAAATATTGAATACCAGCAAAAGGCTTTCAGCTATATCATCTGATACCCAACAAGCAAAATATATATATATCTTTTTTTTTGTCATTTATTTGACCCCATTTGAAATTTGTCTTGTTTTAAGAATAAACCATTTTATTTTAACTGAAAAACAAAACAAAAATACTGATTAAAAAAAGAAACAGTGTTGTCACATGTGACGTATCTACTTGTATCGATACACTTGTATTGACTTTCGACACAGGTTGTCACATGATCTTCATTATCATCACTCCATCAGAGTTACGGTAATCTGCTAGATGTAGCCACCTCTTCCAGCATATTATTTGGATGTTTAACCCTTTTTTCCTTCTTCAAGGACAAATGGTGTACGTGACGGCAGATCTCCATGCGAAAGTCCCTGAGCTCTCCTGAAGCAGCAGATCCCTTTTCAGCGCCAGCTGTTCTTCCAGATAAACTCTGTGGCGTGCTCGCAGATTCTCTTAATATGATTTTGCAGGGTTGGACTCAGGAGAATAGACGCAAAACAAGCGTGCCAGGAGAAAGAGAGCGTTGAATTTTTCATCAGCAGGCCCTCGTAGTGCAGCAGCACTTTTTTAGTAGGCGGCCAGCTCATTCATGAGCAGATGTTCAGCGCAGGTCCAAGCTGCAGTTAGCATGAACTCTGCTGCCCTCTCAGCCGTTGGCTGCAAGGACGTTGGCAGCGACCCCGGCATCTGAGAATTCATTCCCGGCAAAAAGCGCCGCTTCGCCCAGACTCCTTTTTTTAGCCGCGTTTCCCATCCCACGAGCTGGCCAGAAATGGAGGAGGGCTTTTCTTTTGACAGGCCATCAGTCTTCGCTCTGACACTGATGAAAGACTCGCCCGGGTCAACTCAGGGGACCGGCCCCAAAAATTCCTGAAGACAATTTTGCTCAAGTTTATCATTAATTTTTATGACGTCCTCTGTATGAAAATAAGCCACCTGGCACGAAAACCAAAACAGACTCTTTTGGAAAACAAAAGCGGCCTTTTTTGCATCATTTGCGTGAAGGTACCCTTGAAATGGGGAATTGCTATATCAGATTAATGCAGGTGGTTTAAGGGAACGCGCTGGTCAGGTTGGTTGCTATGCTAAAGCCCAGCTGCTGCTGTGGTTAGCCAGGTGGTTCGGTTAGCGTGGTGACCTCAATACACCCCGAGAGACTCGAATAACAACCAATACAGATGAAGCATTATCGTGTTTCATTTACATAACACCGTTATGTTGCAGTACGTCCATGTAGCCCATTCCCATCAAACGACTGAACGCCAAACCGGCATATGTTCCTCACGGAAAGTGTGAAATGTTATTCTTCTCTTTCGTTGCGGTGCATGTGAAGCTGTAATTGAAGGATGATGAGGTTTTTAGTCCTTTTTTTTTCTCCCTTCAAGCACTTGTTTCTTCAGCACGTATCCTACTTCACACTATCTAATTGGCCGTTTTCAGGTTGGGTTTATGAGAGCAAAACTAATTAGTGTTTCTAAATTCAGAGAGCAAGAAAGAGGGAGGAAAAAAAAGGAAAACATGGTTGAATGAATTGTTCTGGTTTCCTCTCTGGTGTCAGGCTCATAACAATGAAATAAAGAGTCTAATCACTTTCAAACTGCTCGTTTTTTTTATTTTTTTAAACCAACACTGAATGTCACTTTCTCTCCTGGCATTTTGTTTGGCACGATCACAGGCCCGGGAATAAAGCGAGCGCTTGCCCTCTTTACAAACTTTTTCCTTTGTAATTCGTGGGAAGGCTTTGCAGGGGAAAAACAATGCGCGTGTTTTTAGGTGGGGTTGTTTCTTCTTTTGATTCGTAACGTCCTGGTGAAAGACGGGTGGAGGGTGGAGAGTTTACAGTAGCGTTGACTTTTCGGCCGTTACCTTTATTCAGAGAGCTCCAGCTGCAGCGCGCCCTCAGGAAGGCCACCGCGGGAGCGCACACACACACACACACACGCCGACCCCCGGTGTGAAAGAAAGCCCTGTTTGAGTTGGCACGCACAACTTTTGCTGCCTCTGCAAGAAAGACAACAGCGGCGGCCGCGCTGGCCAGGCGGGCCGTCGTTCTTCTAATCAGGATGTGCCTTTTCCACCTCTCTCAGGAAACACATTTCTGCCTCTCCCTCCCCTCAGCGGCCAAAAAGCGAGGGACGGACGGGAGGGAGAAAGTCGGTGAAGATGAGTGACAGGATCGGAGTCCGGAGGGGTTTGGGCTAATCTGAGTTTAGTAGTGCTCCCTCAACACCTCACCCTCCCTGCCTCCACTGGGCCTTCATTTATATTGAATAAAAAAGTTTATAGGTCAGTTTAACAATGTGCCGTAAAACTCGCACTATTTTTATTTTTCCACCTCTCCGCCGGAGGGATTCGCATGGAGAGGGCCAGTAATTAAGAAGCTGTGAATCCAGGGTTAGGGAGGAAGAGTGTTTAAATGCAATTAGAGCATCCGCTCGAATCAATTTGAACCCAATTACAGTTTTCTTGAATGTGCTATTATTTGTTTAATCAAGGGAATTTTGCCCTTTTAAGATGCTAAAAATGTACCGCGAGATTATTTAAACGCGGAGTGAAAATAAACTCGTCGGAAGCGGGTAATGAACAATTGTTTCAAAGTGACCTCTCTCGGTGTGCCCTCCCTCGTTACCTTGTTCTTCTTTGAAAAGAAGACTCCATTTGATTTGTCTGGAGATAAAGCTATCACAATATCGGCTGGATAATTAGCACAAAATCCACATCAGTTTTTTTGGGAACTGGATGTGGAACACCAGTCTCTGATGATTCGAAGTTTCAGTAGATTTCCTCATTTCTCACTGATGTTTTTTCTTGTATGTCCTTCTCTCCTTTCTGTCTGCCTTCTCTTCCACCAATCTTTCTACCTGCTGTCTGTCCTGCAGGCAGGAGAGTGCAGTGGTCCAGCCCTGTGGATGCTAAACGGTACGCCTCAAGTTTTTAACAGTGTATGTGTGTGCCTAGCCACACTTTTGAATGAATTTCATTGCAATAGATAACTAAATATTAAACCAAGTGGAATTTGCAAGCAATTGATGCTAGACCTTCTCAAAACTGCACTTTTTTTAAACACCTCTTGTAATTACTTTTAACCAATTGGTCCCAAAGTCATTTTTAGTGGATATATGAAGTCAGTTCACCTCAAGTTACCTTCTTTGTTATCCGTTCAGTTCATGCAAATGCAAATTTAGGATATGTGTGGTAGTTTACTCTTTTTAGTCTTCTTAACAGTAATTCTATAAAGCCCAACAAACATTTTTTTATGAAATGTTTTTATTTATTTATTTAAAATAAATGTTACTTGGTTTAACATTTAATACATATCTAATGCAGTTTTTATTCATTCATTCATTTTTTTTTAATTTAATTGCCGCTTTGTTTGTTTGTTTATTTATTTACAGCAAATGCCATGTGGTTTGTTTGTTTATTTATTTATGTAAAATAATTGAAATTCAGTCTTTTTGTATGTTTGTTTATGTATTTATTTAATTACAAGAAAATTCTACATGGTTTAATATTTATTTAGAATAGATTCTACTTTGTTTAATATTTTATTTTTAGAATTTTTTATGCAGTATAAATGCTTGGTTTAATTATGAATTAATTTGCATGTTTAAAATAATTGCCACTTGGTTTAATATTTAATTTGTGTGTAATGCAATGACATCCCTATATTTGTGTAGAAGTGTGAATTAATTGACCCTTTCAGACACTTTTAAAACACATCTGTTAGAATTTGCTCACGGTTTAGATGGCTTTCTGATTGCTGTCAGCATGTACACAAGGTCCTTTCTAGCTAATCTGAATTCTAAGCCTGTACACAGTTTGACTAGTATACCGCCACAGACCTCTTTGATCCATGTCTCTCGTGGCCTTCACTTCCTGTGTGATGTGTAAACACAACAAACAAACCATGACACTGCCCACATGTCACAGTGCCAGTCTGTGTTCAAATTCTGTTGTTTACAGTAAACATTCATATATATTCATGACCTTGAGTCATAAAAAGCATCCTTTTGCGGCATATGACATGCCATATTAGTGCTTATTATCATATTGTCTCTAAAACAGGTGCTCAACAAACATTAGCCCACGTATATTTGGAGTGTTTCTAAATGTCTCAACTCTGTCATCAGTGTTTGATTTGAATTATGTATTTTAGTAAAAAAAAAAAATTTGCATGCAGTGTATTGCATTGTGAGATTAATGGAGCTCCTGCAAAGTCTGTATTCCTACCAGCCTGGCCAGGCAACGTTTTAGAGAAGTGCTTCTAACAGTTACGCCCGCTTGCAAAACTGTGTACGTTACAGATTGATAGTAAATGGAAAACATGAATGTAAATTGTGTCATTTGATAATGTAAATGGAGAGCCGAGCTATTTTCCCCCACCCCCATAAAGAAATCAGCCCTATTTACATAGTCAGTTGTGCTTATCAGACTTATGGAAATCAATCTCTTGTCATTTTCCAACTACACAATTTCACGTTAGTTCAGAGATCACAGATTTGAAAGTCAATATGGTGACATTGGCTCGGCTCCATGTTGGCAGCATGAATTAAACATAACAAACAAAACAACACACTCTTCTGACAAACTTTTAGATGAGTTTTAATGCATTAATCTTTCACATTGCGTGCGAATGAACCCAAAATGCATGATTATTTCCTCTTGAATATTGATTTTTCGGGGCGTTTTACGGAAATGTTGCACTTATGAAAGTCCAGACTTTTGGCAATCCGAGTTGAAAAGCACTCCAAATATGTTTAAGTGCAGGTTATTATTTAGTTATTCAGATTTATGACCATAACAGAAAGCGAAAGCAGGTGGATTCGAGCCTGTCCATTAAAGTGTACTTTGCAGGGTCCGGTTTTAAAGTGGCCAGCCAGGTGGCTGTGACAAGAGTTATTGAGGAGGGTCTTCGCTTAAACGTCTTGCACATGGTTTACCACTTTCTTTAAAAGCACTTTTAGGACTCTTAATTGCTACTTACATGTTGCAGATGGGTTATGACTAATGAGAGGACTACATTTATGACTCCGCATGAGGACATGAAAGCTCTCCTTGCTGTTGAATTTAACCTTTTCAATATTGACTAATTATTTAGGTTAGAAAAGATCGTAAGACACACCGCAGTACTTTAATACATTCCATTAGTTACATTAGTCGACACCTTTCAGAGCTTTCTACCTCATTTTTTTAATATCTTGATTGTGATGTCTTTAACTGTGGCTTTGCACGCTTGTGCAGAATATGACATTTAATAATTGAACCGTGCAGGTCGGTTGGCTGTTTAACAAGACCTTTGAGTTTCGTTCACACCGTGGCTGAATGTGGCCCAAATCTTTTTTTGATTCCTTTGTTAGTGATATGTGAACAGTGTAATATTAAACGGATACCTGATTTTTATTTATTTTTTGGACAGAAGTGCGACGTTAGGTGTGATGCCTGTTGTCTGACTAGTTTTTGAGTTTTGTGGCTTTTCGTTCATACTTATTGGCTTTGAGGTCATATATATACCAATGTACTCCTAAAAGCAGACAAAACAGACTTTTAAAATCTATTAGCCGTTTTAAAAAAAGGTTTGCTTCGTTATGTTCCACCCCAACTTCCTGTGTAAATAGGAAATACTTCAGCACAGGAAAGAAAACTTTGCTCGGCAAGCTATTTCTTTAAAAGATCATGCGAACAACCTTACAAAAAAGAAACTGAGCAGATAATTGGACTTGCACACTGTGGTTTGTGCTACCAACGTAACTTTGGTTTCACATATACAGAGTATTATTTTTTCAGTTTTTGTTTAGTCATTTACACTACCGTTCAAAAGTTTGGAGTAGGTAAGGTTTTTTGTTTTTTTAATGTTTTTGAAATATTGCTCAACAAGGCTGCATTTATTTGATCAAAAATATAGTAAAACAGCAATATTGTGAAATATTACAATTCAGAATAACTGTTTTCTTTTAATATATTTTAAAGTGTAACTTATGTGACGCAAAGCCAAAGTCATTACTCCATTCTTCAGTGTCACATGATCCTTCAGAAATCATTTTAATATGCTGATTTGGTGTTAAAGAAACATTTCTTATTGTTATTATCAATGTTGGAAAAAGTTGTGCTGCTTAATATTTTTGTGGAAACCATGACCGATTTTTTTTTTTTTTTTTTCCCAGAATTTTTTGAGAAAATTCAAAAGTTTGTTTGAAATGGAAATCTTTTGTAGCATTATAAATGTCTTTACTGTCACTTTTAATCAGTTGACTGCATCCTTAATGAATAAGAAAAAAAAATATTTCAGAAAAATCTTACTGACCTTTTGAACTTTTGAACGGTGTATATGTATAGCCTACTATATGTATATGTGTGTTTAAGTGAGCTATGTAATTAAGTCTTTAGCAAAGCAGTTCAGTTTACTCATTCAAACGGAAATCACTTTTTTGTATATTTTATAGTGTATCAGTTTAAAACATTTTGGTTTAACACACTGCATTTAATTAACAATTAATAATTTCATTTAATTATAAGGCATATTGCCTCATCTTTTAGTAATTTTGAGCTTTAAAAATCCGGATCCAGTCTGTTTTTGTACACACTCACACACACAGACACATTGGCAATGTCATATTGTTCAGAATGGTGACATAAGGGTCAATCCCATCAGTCCTCCCCCTCTCTCCCTCTGCTCGGTGGTACCCTGCTTCACACAGCTCTGCCAAAGCGACTCACCCTAGCCTGTTTGTGCCCTGTCTCTGTTTGTAAATACACAGACAGAGGACACGGGTGCCGCTCGGGGTCATGGCTGCCTCACGGATGCTCCAAACCCAATGTGACAAGCAACAGATGAGTCACAGCACCCCGAATGTAAAGAAGCCGACAGTTTCTCTCTCTGTCTCGCACTCTCTCCCCTTGGGTCACGTGAAGATTAGTGACACCTTCGCTGGCATCCTATAGGCCTCTGCCAAACCCTGCCATATCATCCTGCCTCAGTGCCATTACCCTCCCCCTTCCATTTTTCTGTTTATCTTTTTCTTTTCTCGCCCAGTCATATTCAGAGCTGTGTTCCCTTTTAAAGATCTGGCTGCTTTTCTCCATGCCAACTAAACACGAGGCATGTTTCTCTGGATCAGTTTATATACAGTAAATAGTGATGGCTTTTCTTTGAAGTTTTGTATAATATTTGTATATTTATATTTTAATTATACAAAATGTACAATACATATACAGTACATACACAGATATAAAAATATAGAATAATAATTATATATTCGAATTTTATATAGAATTTTAATTATAATTCTACTTAATTATACAGTATATATAATTTAAATTTAAAAAAAAAAACTTGTCCGTGTGTATAATTAAAATAGAAACATTTTAAGAAACTCTAAAAATCTCACTTTAAATACACAGTACGGTAGAACATGAGAAATAAATCTTTCTTTCTTTATTGTGGCACATTTGAAGGGCCATATCTTTTCACTGCTTGTTCCTAAAAAATATGTTCATCATGTTCACACACTTATTCTTGACATTTTTGTAAGATATTCAGTCATCTTTTTTTCTTCAGAGACAGATAGACAGCACCGAGTCAGTATCTCCCTCTCAAAGTCAAAAGATCAAAGCATCTCTCATCTTGTCCTTCTCAAAATCTGAAAATCCAGCTTGTCTTTTTTTTTTCTCCAGCCACACAAAGTAACAAACGCTAGCCGGCGCGCTCGGCCCCAGGATTACGATCCTTCTATCTTAATCTGTCCATCTTTTTAAGCAAATAGCATGGCCTTGCATAACCGAGGAGAACAACTGGCGTACATAGTTCTCGTTGACCCGATGAGGGTGTTTAAATGCTAAGCTGGATGGGATGATGAGCCCGGAAACTATTTGCCAACTTTAACCGATAGTTTGACCCTGCAGTGTTGACCCACATGTGAGAT